TTTGCTGGCAAGGGAATTAAGGACACTGTGGGTGCAGATACTTTCTTGGTATGAACTGTAGCTTTGTCGGGCCTTTTCCTCGTGTCATCTCTTTACTTTCATTGGTTTTATGATAGAAAGCACTTAATGATCTAAATTTATTTTGGCATTTCCTCCTTTTCCTTGTTTGAATAAAATTGGTGTACAAATGACAAATCTTTCTATCAGGGAACACATCCTAGGTTTATGGGAGATGCCTTTGAGAAAAACAAGGTCATTTATCTTCGAATAGAAGCATTGGCTCAAAAGCATGGATGCACCCCTGCACAGCTCGCACTTGCTTGGGTTCTCTATCAGAGGGAGGATGTGGTACCCATTCCCGGTGAGTGACTCGTCAAATTTTTGCTTCATTGTTAACATATGCGATTTTAGATTTTCTTCGTTTCTAATAAAACACAAGTCAAAGACTAGCTCAAAATGATATCTGATAACAGAACAGAATAAACCTCAAAAAATCTTACTTTATTTCTACTGAAAACATTGAGTACCACTTTTTCCAGTGTCCTCAAGCTGGTGAGTGACTCTCATCAAATTTCGCTCCAATGTTCATAAAAATGTAAATTCAATTTTGGTTTGTTGGGAGTGAGAATTCAATTTTACTTTGTTGGTAATGAGAACAGTCAAAATGATACACACATAAGAATTTGTCTTAACATCAAGCTGATCTGGTTCTAAGCCGACCATTTTAGAATTTGCTATGGCTGTTCCTAATGTTTTGAGTCTCCCTTGGTACCATGCTCAACTATTCTTTCCGTAAAGACCATTTCTTCAATTCATGAAGTAAATGTTTTACCATAACTTCATATTGAGCTCTATGAATTAACCAACTCTAGCGTTTTCTTTTCTATCAATCTGCTTGCTCGTAAAATGTTAATGTAACTGTTTGACAACAAAAAATCTTGGGTTCTTCCTGTCCGCCAAGTGTCTGTGGGCGAGACTGAAATTGTGTTTAACTATGAATTAAACTACTAGGGGTGAGCTGGGTAGCTAGCCCAATTGGTAAGAGGCACTTCCCTTAGTCGTGTGTGAGCCCAGTTTCGACACATCCCATTCCCCCCTCCTTGCCATGTAAAAAGTAAAAATAAAGAAAATAAAATAAAATAAAAGAATTAAACTACTAGTGTGGGAATTAAACTAGGCTAGGTGCTGAACAATCTGGAAAAAACTTGCACGAAAAATTCATTAATTTCTTCATGTCTGGAAAAATATTAAGTTGAACAGACATGATCTGAATATGTTGTACTTGTGATCACATCTTTGAACTGAAGGACTAAATCAGTTTTTATCCTTGTACTTTTGTAGGAACAACTAAGATCAAAAACCTTGATGATAACATCGGTTCCGTGAGTGTGAAACTCACCAAAGAAGATATAAAAGAGATCACCGATGCTGTACCTATCGATGAGGTGGCAGGGGAAAGGGTACGCGGTGAAGTTATGGCGAAAATCTCATGGAAATTCGCTAATACACCGCTGCCAAAAGATTGCAAGTAATCGGCCTAACGTATCTTCCCGAATGCATCTTTAGTTGGTGGAAGATCTTACATTTCCTCCTGCAGTTGCAGTTGCAGTTGCTGTTGCTTTTGCATGTTGAGTTTGAATGTGCGATGTGGGTTGCTCTGTTAACTAAGTATTTGCATACTACTACGTATTATCTAAATAAGAAGAGCACTGATCACTTTTAGAGACAGTTCAACACTCTTTCCTTGTTTTGTCAAGTTATTTTATTTATCAGTTTTATCGGTAATACCCGAAACGGTCATGATTGTTCCATATAAGTTTGTGTTATATAAACTTGTATTGAGAATATTTATGAAAAAGAAATAAATAAATAAATAATCTTGTATTGAGAATTGTTTGGGAAGAGTTGGCAAGTTTGTGTTAAATTTATTATCAATATTTTATAAATACATTAATGAAATGTAGATAGGCATTCAAAAGTGTCCATAAGGTGTGGGTCGACATAAAATAAAAGAGTTTTGTTGGGTATTTTTTGACATCTTTGTGACCTAAAAACTTTTAGCAAGAGACCCCCGATTTTATTCAATACCCAGCAACGAATTTTTATTAAAAGGTTCGGAAAAAAAATATATGAAAAACTAATCTGAATTAAACATGGTAAGATATGAATGTGTCCAAAAAAAAAAAATCAACCACATATCTGATTGAATCAATTTTGAATTCAAATAAAATCATTGTAATAAGATGTAAATTTAAATTTACTAACGAAGAAAGGCTGAATATCATTAAAAAAAATAAATAATAATAGTAGTAAATTAAGGCTGAATTGTTAAGCTAGGTGGATCCAATGACCATTTTATTTATTTTTTATTTTCATTTTTATTGAAAATTATCTTTTATTCTCCCTCTTTTAGCCACCTGTCTTATTCATACTAACGTCACGTGATTGAGATTGAGAAAACGACAAATTTTTATTTTTTATTTTTATTATTATTATTATTTATTAACTTATTGAATCTGGATACTCGATTTTGGATCATGGTGTGCAATTAAATAGAAAATATAATAATATTACTTTGAAAAAAAAAAAAATCTAGAATATTAAAACTGATATAAATATGTTTCATTTAAAAAAAAATGTGACCATTGTTTAGCTTTAAAAGTTTCATTTTAAAACTGAGATGATATGTTTCATTTTAATAGAGTCCGTTTGCGAAGACTTTTAATCATAGAGTTGTCAAAAAAATTTAGTTAATAATAATAATTTTTTATAATTAAATTATTTTTTAATTTATTTGGTAACAAATTTTTTTAGAACACTTCTATTACTAATTTTATAATAATATCTTTTAATATGATATTACCATATTTGATAATAATAACTTTATTAAAAAGGGTTGTAATTGCTTTTATAAGAAATAAAAAGAATAAAATTGTCTAATGAAAAAGAGTTACTTAAAAATATACCACATCTACCCATAACACAATTTAAAAAATAAAAGCGCTTTAAGTAATAGAGAAGCAATCCCAAACAAGTTCATAGAGTGTCTTCTTAGAAGTTGATATATATATATATATATATATATATTTATTTATTGACAAAAAAATACACATCTAAATTTTTTCTAATACTTAATTATAACATTGTAATAAACCAGCTAAGAATAAATATTCTGAATTTCACAATTTATATTTATATGACATATACCTTCATGTTATGTTTGGAAGTATATAATCGGTGCCCCGATTTGAAATTGAAAAAAATTTGGTTTAGTTTTTATATTAAATTTTATTCAATTCCAAAAATAGCATCAATTCGGTACCGCCAAATTTAATATTAGTCATATTAATTATGAATTTAATTAAAATAAAAAGTAATTGACATGCTACTTTGTCATTATTTTTATCCAAATTCAAAAGAAACTTTTTTTGTTTACACCGTTTGGAATGTGAATTTATTAAGTTATATATATATATATATTGACAATGACACATTAAGTTATTGAATAAACTACTAATAGAACATGAAATAGATCGAATTTGACTGGGACAGGAGATTAGGAACACAATCAGGGAGAGATTACCATCTCAATTATTTAAAATGGTCTGGCTGCTAATTTGCCATCCTTGTTCAGGCCGCCCCATGACCGCCAGACCTTCACCCTAATGCCTCTTCAAGTGATGCGATCATGTCGATGATAGGACTAGATATTGAATGCGCCAGGCGTGTTGTGTCATTAGTGTACCTACTTAATAAAATATAATATATTATCTAGATATCAATAATTAATAAGTAAGTGGACTAACTTTTTTTAAAATAATGCATTGTTATTGGATTTATACACTAATAATACAGCGAACTTAATATCTACACCCATGGTTGAGATACTCGGTTTGAATTATGAATTAATCATTGCACAACGGTTATGATATGCTCGGGTTGGGCTTGTTGGACTGTTCTTTGGTCGTTTGTTCTTTGGTCGTTGTTAAGGTTTACTTGTTTTGGGCTTACACTTACGTCCAAATCGGGCAATGTTTGTGTTTAGATTTTGGGCTTTTCCAGTTGGTTTAGCTTCGTTTGGCCATAATAGCCCTTCCACTTATTGTGGCCCATGTACAGTTTTCTTTATCTATATTTATTTCTCTCTCTCTCTCTCTCTCTATATTTCTATATCTATATCTATAGTAGTATTATAAAAGTCTGAGAGGGCTTTTACTTACTTATTTCCAAACATTTTTTTAATGGGTATAATTTTTAATATAATTTTTCCCAACTATGTAATGGTTATAATGTGTCTTAATTTCGTTAAAAAAAAGAGAATTTTTTTTCCTTTGTTAATTTTCAAGTGTTCATATAATTACATTACAAAAGGAGATGCATGATCATATTTATTTTCATAACGAAATGAAAGTAATGTTTGTCGTTTTTTTATTTTTATTATTTTTTAAGATTATTTCATAGTGTAAATCCTTTTAGATAAATTTTATAAACATTTTATGAATTATAATCACATAGTCCTTATTTTCTTTTATAGTACCATGCTTTACTATTTATTTGCTTTAATTTTTTTTCACCATGTCAGACTCATTTATGGTTTATGCATATGATGTACTTTTCTTGAAAATTATAAAAACTTGTTCGTTTTACCATACTAATTTCACATTATTATACTAAAATTGATATTTTATTGGAATATTTTGGAGATAGACAATAAACTGTTTTTATTTATTTATTTCCTAGTTCCCTCTTTTCCAAATTTATATAATTTGCTTAAGCTTTGGAAAATTTATTTATTTAATTATTTTATTTTTGCGTGATTTAGTTTGTTGTATCTCGACTTAAATTGCACTAAATGGTCGTATTGATTTTAAGAAGGCCACGTGCCTGAAAAGAGCCGGTCAAGAGGTTTTATTGGCTACGTTACTATCTCGACACAGTATAATGCAATTATGCAACCCCCATAGACACGTAATCCGTGACGTCATCCACCCAGCTTAGTGATCAATTTGGATTCTCCAAAACACTTTTAAACATTGGGGGTTTGTGAGTGTGTGTGTGTGTATATACATACATATATAGTTGGTCGTTTAGATTAATTTTTAAAGTGCAAGCTGAGTTCAGATTTTAAAGGAGAAAGAAGTTTTAACAATGGCTGAGGGCAAGCAAGTTGAGATGCCAAGAGTGAAACTTGGAAGCCAGGGACTTGAGGTAATTTAAACCCTTTCCTTTTCCATTTCCATTTCCATTTCCAATTCCACTGAAGAAAAGTTAGTTTATTGTTTGGTTGAAATATAATTTATTGATAGTGTAATCTGTTCAAATTCAACAATAAAACTGGACAATCAAGGACTCCATGTGAAACCCTTTTCAGTCTTTTGAATTTCATTCTCACTAGCATGAATAAATTCTTTGTACTTTGTTTCTTTTCATTAAAATTTCACAATGGCTTTATCATATTACATTATGTTTGGGTGGAAGGAAATGGAGAGAGAAGAAAAATAAGATGGGGAGGGGAACTGGTTTGTCCTTTGTTTTGAAGTTTTATGTGGTGGAAAATATATGCTTTTGAATAGTAATTAAAAAAAAAAAAAAAAAAAAAAAACTTATACTAATATTATTATAATATGCTAGATGAATAATTAATTAAATATTCAACTCGCAATATGTAATTAACCATGCAAATTAAAGCAATCAAATACTAGGAACCATCATAAGAATTCTGAACAGTGATCTAGATATTGTTTGGATTGGGAGATTCTTGTATAAATTTTATTTGAACCAAGATGTCACAAGCACAAAAACTTCAATATATTATAAACCCAAATCATCACAAACTCATTGGGCAGTTGTTGGTTTGGATTGCAAAGCTCTCCTTACACCAATTACGGGGTTGCTCTTTTATAGAGATGGTAGCTACCTAAATTGGTTTTTTGCCATTACCGTTGAGAATATCCGGAAGGGGTTAAAGTAGCAGAAGAAAACTTTTAGACTCGAGGACTTAAAATCAAGGGGGCTCAATATTATGACCATCATATTGGCTCTATGTTTGTTTTTTCTCCTTAATGACGGAGGAAGAATTTTATAGAAATTGTCTCCGGGAAGATCTTACTTTATTTCTCATTCGTTTCTAAATTGTGGAGCCTTATGTTCTCACAGGTCTCGAAATTGGGGTATGGCTGTATGGGGCTCACTGGAGGCTACAATGCTCCTGTCCCTGAAGAGGTTGGCATTTCAATAATCAAGTATGCATTCGACAAAGGAATCACATTCTATGACACATCAGATGTTTATGGCGCTGACCATGCTAATGAATTATTGGTGGGAAAGGTAATATTATGCAAATATGTTTTCACTAAGGCAGTACCAATACATTTTTGTCTGGCTTTTTATAATGTTGATCACACCATTGCCTTTCTGGTCTATGTTGTATAAGGAACCATATTTTTTGATTTCACACTGAATTGAAGCATTTGAAGTAATGAGCTCTGACATTGACAAAAAAAAGAGTAATTGCGAGAACTGAAAGGCTCTGGTTGTGTACTTCATTTATTAAGGCTTATTGGGTTATTCAGCTGGAGCAGTTAGTCAAGTATTGTGTCCTCTGCTAAAGATAAGGCTGAAAATCAATGGGAAAAGTTTCATATTGCATGTAGAAACTGCATAGTGGGGGAGTGTCTCTCTCTCTCTCTCTCTCACACACACACACACACACATAGATGGACAGAGGTGAGCTGGATGCACTAGTAGAAAGATCCATAAATAGTCATTCGTTTATGCACTCAATTTCATGTGCACATATTTCTTTTATGATTTCATTATCCGGAAATGTCAGAATGGGTGTATTGCGATGCTAGAAAGATTCATAAAAGGATAGCTTGCAGCTTTTGTTAACTAAGGGCTCAGTTTAGGTGTCACGCTCCAAAATCTTAAATACATGAACTCTTGCCTCGTATTAAAATCTGGCATGACTTTCTTTACACAACCACAACTTTACAGAAAAAGATAATTAAATAAAGAAGTGGATTTATTAAATCGATACAACCATAATAACAATCAACCTTGTCAAAAATAATCCATAACAACCGGACAAAATGAACTAAATCTCAAAATATATCGTCATTTTTATTACAATGCGAAATTGAACTAAACCAAAGAATACGAAAAGCTAGTCAAAATCCATCACCATCATGTGATCCCATCACGTTCCTACTCAACGTGTACCTGAAATGTGATAATGGGGTGAGCTCACAAGCTCAGCAATAAATGCTAAACACAATCATCGTTCAGCAAATTAACCTTCTCTTGTATTCCCATATATATAAGCAACTCAGATAAGTTCATTTTTCAAATGTGCATAACCCAGTTAAATATAAACTCAAATAAATAATCATCATTTATTTTTAATAAATCTGCATATCTCCTATGAGCCCCTAGCTCCCGTTCAATAAAGTGGTGTGAATCGTATAGTCCCTGACTACCAAAAACACACGTGTGGCTGGATTGTACGTCTACTCCCCAGATGATCCCTGATCACGTTCACACAATAAGGGCTCGTTAGACCCATGGCCATAACAAAAGGGTAGTGCACTTCCAAATAGGTAGGTCCCTGACCATACTCAAAAGTCATCATAGGGTCAGTCCCTGACTGCCCTCCGACTAATCCAAACTCGTCATTATTATTTATGGTGAATTATGAAAGACATTATTAATTAATAATTTAAAATTAATAAGTAATACACCCAAACACGCTTTTAATTTAAAAACAGAACCCTATAGACCCAACTAGTGAGAGTACAAAATTCTTGGACATAGCCTAACATTAGATAAAATACCCTGCAAAATTTCAGAATTTATCTCTTAATAGTTTTTCCATACTCTCCCTTTTAGTGTTGAGAAATAATATGTATTTTTTTAAGGTTTAATTTGGTAAACTTACCCAAATAACATTTAAAATCTGGATTTTAACAAAACCAGATTCATTATACAAAAATATAATATTCTCGTATCTAACACAATTATTGAAATATTTAAAATATTTTTCCTTAATCTTCTAATGTAAAACTATAAAAAAAAATAATAATAGTTAAGTATATTATTTCAATGCAATACAACAACACACTATTCCTCACTCACTGTTGCCGAGAGTAGTTGAATCATAGAACCCAAAAACAAATGAGTCTTCTACCCAAAATAGTTCTATGCAATAAAATTTAACACCTAAAATGGGTCTTCCACCAGTTTTAAGTTATTCTTTCCAGAACCTCAGCCAACAACCTCTAAATTGTGTTCCCAACCATGCACGACCGAGTACAAATCCACTTTGTTAAGTACAGGTCATACCCACATTCATGGGTTATTTATTGCTTAATTTATTAACATACACATGTGAATCAATTTAATTTATTAACATACACATGTGAATTAATTCATGAAACTAGTCTAAACACCATGATTTTTAATGCCAAAGTAATGATTTCCAAGACCCAGTTCTAGTACTAATCCACTGCCATATAACAACATACACACATGAATCCCTCTTTGAGTGAAACTCTACAGGAATTTCATTCCTATAAATATATATCTACCACATGAAGATTACATTACTTCAAACAGTCCACACATAAACGCACGCACACACATCTATATATAATTACATTAGATCAGATTTGTCCTTAATCAAAACTTAAAGTTAACATTATATGAAATTTTATATACACAAATACAAATATACTTAAAGGTTCATGTATCTTAATTATAACCAAAGTAACTCTACAAATTACATACATGCATAGTCATTCTCAAACACGTAAATATGAGTACATTATATATAAATCGTTATTATTACTATAAATTATAACAATGAAAAAATCTAAATTTCATATTCAACCAATAACATTATTCGTAAGAAAGGTAAAGACTCTTAAGGTTACTTGATTAAATACAACTATTTATGAAACCAATTTATAATGTATTCTTAATCATCATCACAGTGACTTGCAACAACATATTAAAATATGTTAAAATATACATCTTTTTAAGAAGTTACGAATATATATAGAACTACTATGCAAGATTAACTTGCCTGGGTAATTAATTCTTCCTTCCTACGCGAATTCCCACTTATCGTTCCTTCCCTCGGCTACTGCAGAAAGACACGATATCAGATAACTCTCTCTCTAGGTCTCCATCCTATCACGCTGTATCGTCCAATATTCTTTCTTGAATGAAAATAATGTAGTGCAGAGTTATAGAGATATATGGAGTCTGGTGAGATAATTTAGCAATTTAAATTTTTTTTTAAATTTAAATTATTTAACGAACTTTAACACAATAACCCGTTTAAATTAAATCAGAGATAACAATTAAATTAAATTAAATTAATAAATATATCTATATGATATATATATATATATATATATATATATATATATATATATATATATATTTACACGGGTCTTGCATTAGGTTTCTTTAACAGCAATCACAATTGAATACTAGATAATGACAATGAAACTTTAGAATTATAACAGTTTTGGCTGTTTATGATGCCTTCTTGGAGCAAAAGCAATTGGGATCCGAAGAAAATAAATTTTAATTAGAAGAGTAAAATAAACAACTTGGATTTTTAGAATGTGATTTATACTGACATTTTCCATTTGCATATGATATCACTTGACAACTTCAATTTCTGGCTTTATAATTTCTGCAGAGTACCAATTCATGCACCAACTCAATCTTCATCTAGTGTATTTCAGTAGATGATTTTCTTGTTTATTTGCCGAGCAAAGTTTAAATCATTTTATTACGGATTTGGATTGGTCTTTAATTTAGTATAGCCCTAATCTTGCAGGCATTGAAGCAGTTGCCTCGAGAAAAGGTCCAGTTGGCAACAAAATTTGGTATAGTCAAAAGTCAACCTACTTGTGTTATAGTAAACGGGACTCCAGAGTATGTTCGCTCCTGTTGTGAGGGTAGCCTGAAGCGCCTTGGCGTAGAATACATTGATCTCTACTACGCACACCGAATAGATACAACGGTACCTATTGAGGAAACTGTGAGTATCATAGCTCTTTTTTCATTTCCATCAATACACCCTATAGTCTTTTTCTTTTTTTTTTTTTTTGGAGGATGATTTCATAGTTGCTATTAACTTCTAAAGAACTTGAATTTTATTTTTCGTGGCCAGATGGGGGAACTTAAGAAACTAGTGGAGGAGGGTAAAATAAAGTACATTGGTCTGTCTGAACCTAGCCCAGACACAATTAGAAGGGCACATGCTGTTCATCCTATCACTGCTTTACAGATGGAGTATTCCCTTTGGTCTCGTGACATTGAGGAAGAAATAATCCCGCTTAGCAGGTATTTTTTTTTATGTTCTGTCTAAAATTCTTGCATCAGTCTGTCTTGTGTGCAGTTACCTTCCCTTCTCAACAGTTTGATACTTCTGATAACATGTCATGTTACTCTTTATTTTCTAAATAAATTCACTTACAAAGAAAAGTACACCCGGAGAACATAGCTTATTTGGCATTCAAACTTTAATCTCCTTTGATTGAATACAGGATTTCTCCTTTGAAGTTTGCATCTCAATTTTTTAGCAATTCTGTTTTCCTCTATATACTTCCAAGTTCCAATTTTCTTTGTTTTTCCCTTTCATCTCATATTTTCCTTAAATATGTTTTGATAATCAGGGAACTTGGAATCGGGATAGTTCCGTACAGTCCTGTTGGTCGTGGATTTTTCGGTGGCAGGGGAATCGTGGACAGTGTGCCTCCAAAGACTTACTTGGTATGAACTGTAGCTTTATCGGGCCTTGCCTTGTGTCGTCTATTCACTTTCATTGGTTTATAATAGAAGGCATCTTCATGGTCTAAATTTATTATGGTTACTCCTTTTCCTTGTTTGAGCAAAATTGGTGTACGAATGAATGACAAATCTTTCTTTCTATCAGGAAACACATCCTAGGTTTACGGGAGAGAACTTAGAGAAAAACAAGATCATTTATACTCGAATAGAAGCATTGGCTAAAAAGCATGGATGCACCCCTATACAGCTCGCACTTGCATGGGTTCTTCATCAAGGGGATGATATTGCACCCATTCCCGGTCAGTGACTCATCAAATTTTTGCTTCAGTTTTAACAAATGTGATTTTAGATTTGCTTCCTTTCTAATAAAATATAATTAAAAAACTAGCTCAAAATGATACAATCTGATAACAGAACAGAATAAGCCTAAAAAAACCTTACTTGTAATGAAAACATAGAGAACCACTGATTCCAGTGTCCTCAGGCTAGATTTCTAAGATTAGCCATATTCCTGGTGAGTGACTCATCAAATTTTGCTCCAATGTTGATAGAATGTAAATTCAAATTTGCTTTGTTGGTAATAAAAACATTCAAAAACTACACCAATATGATACAAACTCGAAATAAATAGAATAACCCCAAAACTTCACTTACCAGTATTTGTCTTCACATCAAGCTGATCTTGTTTTAAGCCAATCAATGCAACCAAGGTCAACATTCATGTATTGAATGTGTTCTAAATTGGTCAAGAAATCATGATTTGAGTATGCTCTAGAACTGGAAATAACAGTCCTTCAAAATTAAGATTTCCTTAACTATCACTTCAAAATTAGGATTTCACTCTTTTCTGCATATCTTCTCACAAAATTTCCTTGTATAACATGATGAAATCCTAGTTATTGTGAATAGATTCCATGTTGTGTCTTATTTTTACCAGCTACTAGAGCATAGCCGTTGTTACAACCTTCAAAGAATTGAAGGATGTTTCTTATTATTTGTTAGAAATCTTATCTATAAGTTGACTCAACGATTATGGCAGATTTATTGGGTCTTCAATATAGGCTAATTTTTAGGGATTTTATTTTTATTTTGATTTGATTTGATTTTATTCTCTTTATTTTGATTTGATTTTATTCTCTTTTCCATATTTGTAATTTTCCGCTTGTATATAATGATAGTCAGGCTCTCAAATTGAGTACGCCAATTGTACCAAGTTACTTTTTGGTATCAGAGCCTCAAACCTACGCCTCCCCCATCTCTCTCTCTTTCACCGCCTCTTTTAATATCTCTCTCTATCTCGTTACAGCCCCTTCCATATATATATTTTTTTCACAGACCTTCTCTCTTTTTCAGGTCGCTATTGCGACAGTCATAGGGGGAGTCAATCTCCTCTAGGTTCGACCCCTGTAGGGGTATTCCCTTAGTCTTTTTCATGCACTAAGGGTCAGAAGACGTGTTTGTAATTTTTTGGGGCTGCCGGGATATTCGGCAGCATTTTCGGATCAGATCGCCGTGTCTCCGGCTTCTTGGTTGGATCAAAATCAGGTCTATTCCTCCTCTATTTGAAATTATTGGTAATTTGTTGAATTGGCCGATGGTTCTATTGATCGGTATAAGGCTCGGTTGGTGGCAAAAGGCTTTCCTTAGATTCCGGGCAAAGACTTTAGTTGACGTCTGTGCGACTGCTTGTCTCCTTGTCTGCTGCCCATTCTTGGCCTCTGGATCAGTTAGATGTCAAGAATGCATTTCTTAATGGAGACTTACTTGAGACTATATATATGGATCCACCCCCTGGATTTCGGGCTAAGGGGGAGTATGCTGGGAAAGTCTGTAGGCTGCGGAAGTCTCTTTATGGTCTGAAGCAATCTCCTAGAGCTTGGTTTAGTCGTTTCAGCAATGTTGTTTTATCTATGGGCTTTGTGCGCTGCCACTCAGATCATACTTGTTTTATTCGACGTTGCTCTGATGGTCGTTGCATTATGTTATTGGTATATGTGGATGATATCATTATCACAGGTGATGATGTTTCAGGGATTGCTCAGGCGAAACTTCATCTTCAAAAGTCCTTTGATGTGAAGGACTTAGGTCCTCTTCGATATTTTCTTGGAATTGAGGTTGCTAGATCCCGTCGTGGAATTTCTTTATCTCAAAGAAAATATGTTTTGGATCTTCTTCAAGATACTGGCATGCTTGGGTGTCGACCCGCTTCCACTCCTATGGACCCCAATCTTAAACTCTCTGTTGAGTCAGGGGAATTACTTCCAGATCCATCCGTGTATCAACGTTTAGTAGGTCGTCTTATCTACTTGACTAACACAAGGCCCGATTTGACATTTGCTGTCAGTGTGATTAGTCAATTCATGCATGCCCCTCGCTCAGCTCATATGGATGCAGTCTACCATAGTTTGAAGTACCTTAAGTCGTGCCCTGGTCTTGGTCTGTTCTATGCCTCAGGAAATCAGTCTGGACTCTCATGCTTTACTGATGCAGACTATGCTGGATGTAAGACAGATAGACGTTCTACCTTTGGCTTCTGTACTTTTTATGGTAATCATCTCATATCATGGAAGAGTAAGAAGCAGGCTGTTGTTTCTAGATCCTCTGCTGAAGCTGAATACCGAGCTATAGCTCAAGGTACTTGTGAGCTCCTTTGGCTTCAATCAATTTTAGGAGAGTTGGGTCTTGTACAGAAAGGTTCTTCAAGGCTGTTTTGTGACAATAAATCAGCTATTATGCTTGCTTCTGATTCTGTTTTACATGAAAGGTTGAAACATATTGAGGTAGACATTCACTTAATTCGAGAGAAGGTTCAATCGGGTATCATTAATCCTATTTTTGTTCCTTCTTCAGAACAGACTGCAGATGTGTTCACAAAGTCTGTTGGGCCTTCTCCAGTTTTCCATCGTCAAGCTGGGCTTAGTCAACATATTTGCTCCAGCTTGAGGGGGAGTGTTGGAAATCTTATCTATAAGTTGACTCAACGATTATGGCAGATTTATTGGGTCTTCAATATAGGCTAATTTTTAGGGATTTTATTTTTATTCTGATTTGATTTGATTTTATTCTCTTTATTTTGATTTGATTTTATTCTCTTTTCCATATTTGTAATTTTCCGCTTGTATATAATGATAGTCAGGCTCTCAAATTGAGTACGCCAATTTTACCAAGTTACTTTTTTATTAAATAATCTTTGGTGTCTTTGTGACCAATTGGGTCGACTCTTTCAGAATTTGTTATGGCTATTCCTACTGTTTTGACTACTCCCGTGGGAGCTCAACTATTCTTTCGGTAGAGACCCTTTCTTCATTTCAGAAAGTAATTGTTTTCCTGATTTACCATAACATCACATTGAGCTCTAGCAAAAAACCAACTCTAGCGTTTTCTTTTCTATCAATCTGTTTGCTCATGATGCTAAGGTAACATCCCTAGTTCTACCGAATTCAATTGTGGCTGAACTAGGATCAAGTGACCCCAATTAGTACCCCTTCACTACTCTTGCATAACTGAGAAAATTTACTTCTCTTTGGGTACCATTGTACCATCTTCCATATGAACATAGAGTAGGAACACTGAAATCTTAAGACTAAAAATAATGCTAGATAATCGATAAGTACTTGAGATATCTTCATGTTGATATGTGGCCCGTGGGAAGGGATATGTTTCATCACTTTCTGTCTTCCTGCTGAAAACTGTACGCATTCCTTTTATGAACATCATGCAACGTGCCTTCAGTAGCATCTAACTCATCCATTTTGCAATTCCATTATGATGTGCTATATCCATACCAGTTAAAGTTCCAATTGGTGCCTGAATCTCCTTGTTATGATAGAAGTGGTTCTCCCACAATCTATTCGGAATAGGGCTGCATAGTTATGGTTCATTTACATTAACGCAAACTAGAAGTGTGAGTCTCATTCAAAGAGTCAGAGCTGGTTTGGAAGCTCGTGTTAACTCCTGGAACGAAGAGTATGAGATATTTCCTTTTGTTTCTCTGGTCACACTTCGGCTTGGTGGATACTTGTTCATCATTGGAAGGACCTATTCGTAATAATTTTCCTTAATAAGAAGGAATAATCGAATTGAGTTCCTGGATATACATAGGTCGGTTTAAATTTACTGGTTCTTTAGGTGCTTTAAAATTCTAAAATTGTACATTGTACTATGGGCTTCTAGCCGAAAGAGGCAAATGCTTGATAATGAACCTAAATTAAATATCAAGTCCATTCACCGTAACATGTGGCTGCACAATTCAATTGAAATAGTAAGCTGAACATGTATGATCTGAAATATGTTATACTCGCATCACATCTTTGAACTCAAGGACTAAATGAGTTTTTATCCGTGTACTTTTTGTAGGTACAACCAAGATCAAAAACCTTGACGATAATATTGGTTCGGTGAGAGTGAAGCTCACGAAAGATGATTTAAAAGACATCTCTGATGCTGTACCTATCAATGAGGTGGCAGGGAATAGGCAACTTAGTGAAGCTTTTGAGAAAATCACGTGGAGATACGCTAATACACCGCCTCCAAAAGATTACAAGTTTTCGGCCTAATGTATCTCCTCCTGAAATGCATCTACTTGGTGGAAAATCTTGCATTTCCTCATTCAGATACTGTTGCCTTAGTATGTAGAGTTTTAATATGTGAGATATGATGAGTTGCTCTGTTACCAGAGAGTCCTTTTCGATGTTATATAAAGTTATTTTATGTATCTGTGTATCTATAATACCCGAAAATGAGAAAATGAGAACATTGTGAAGTTCTTATATTTCAGAAGAACGAGAGAAAGTTTGAGGTGTGTATCTATTATTTCCCATATTGTTGGACATGATTATTCTATATAAGTTTGTGTTATATAAATTAAACTTGTTTTGAGAATTGTTTGGCAAGCTTAGGCAAGTGTGTTGGAAGTGAAAGTAAAATTTATCATCAAATTTTTGTTTGATTTTTTTTTTTGAATGGTAAAGGTTAAAAAAAAAAAAAAAACCAAAATTTTCCTTAAAAATTAACATTCTGCTTTGTCATAATGTCATCCAAATCTTTAAAATAAACTTATTTTCTCCGCAACCTTGGATATGTGAATATATTAAGGTTATTAGATCATGAAATAGACAAGTTTGATTGACCCGATTTGATTCAATACCCAATCAATGATTGACCATAAAAGTAATTTAATTTGAATTGAAAATTGGTTTCAACCATAGTTAATAAAATACAGTGAAAAAATACGCGTGTAGAGGTACATATATAATTGAGTTTTCTTGTTTAACAATGTTAAAAAATTCGGTATAAAAAAATGAAAATGAAAAAATACGAATGTGGACATGTTCGGATATAATACTTTTTAATATATATATATATATATATATATATATATATATATATAAAAGTAATTTATATTGAAAATTGGCTTCAACCATCTTTGGTAACATATGGTTAAAAAATACGTGTTTGTAGAGGTGCGGATATAATACGCTTTTCTTGTTTAAAAATGTTTAAAAAATTCGGCATAAAAAAATGAAATACGAATCCAGACATGTTCCGATGTATTGCTTTTTTTATAAATAAAAGAAAAATGGATATTAAAAATTCAACCACACATGTACTAATTTTCTTCTCCTACTTCTGGCTTATTGGAGAGTTTATAGAACATAATAAATTGATGAAAGTTTTAGAAGACCAAAGAGTTTGTCAATTTGTATGTATTGGGGTTGAAGTCTGAAAATTAAATTGTAACCATTGATTATAATAGATCATAATCATCCATCAATGAGAGATGTCTATATATATAGGAGTTATAATTGTAAGAAGCTCCAAGTCCAAATGTGGAATCAAATGTGGGATGAATAGTTTTAAGAGTGAAAGTCTATCTTTGAAAAGAATAAAATGCATAACTTCACGTGTGAATAATTCTCCTCCTCTACAAATTAGGGTTTGTACGATTATTCAAGGCAAATTATAATCAACGGCCCCAAAACTGTAATGATCTCCCCGTCGATGGCCATTTGTAAAACAGATATTTTTAGTGAATTTCCTTATCGATTCTTGTTATTATATTATTAAAAATAAATAAAATATCAAATTATATTAAATTACAAGTTTGCCCACCTCAAAAAAATTATTATTATTTCCACTTCCAAAATTACTTATTTTATTTATTCATTACATGGATCATTAGACACACAGCCAACTAAGAAAACTTGATAAATAAATAAATAACTAATAGACCCATTTGCAAACATATATATATATATACACAAATATATGTTGGAAATTTTTATATATATAAATAATAAAAATTATTTATGGTTGTATGCATTAAGTTTTTTAATATACAATTTAATATGATTATTGATACTTGATGGATTGAGTTGTACATTCCAATTTGGTGGTCTAATTGAGAGTATGGTTTTATACCATATTGTTATATATAAGGGTTTTAAAAGACATATCGTATCGACAACTCTCATAAGGGATAAAACGCTCTAATTTTTCAGATCTCTCACGGGCATTAAAGAATTCTCAAAAGGTATCTAAAGTTTAATCTTCTAATCAGGTATGATATCAAAACCTCTCGATAATTAATTTTGATTTCTACATATTATTTATTATTTAAACTCAACAATTGATATCAGAGCAAGGTTAGGGTTCGTAGAAATCAACATCGTAAAATTGATTCATATTTTTTGTGGGTGAGTAATTGATTCTTCTGTTTGAAAAAAAAAAAATACTTTATACAGCAAATTACACGCACGCCAAACGAGATTTTTAGCATGAATTTGTTATCAGTTTGTCTTATAATTAAATTGCATGCACGCCGAACGAGTTTTTTTTTTTTTTGGCATGAATTTGTTATTAGTTTGTATTCATGAATTTGTTATCAGTCTGATCAAGTGTATGCACGTCGAATGATATATATATATATATATAAAGCATTTGTTGGTGTAGCGTGGATTCAAACCTTGCACCTTCTGAAGTATAACATCATAGTCAACCAACTTTCCAAGAGCGCATCACATATTACCGAATTTGATTGGGACTTTTTTGTCCCTTCTATGTTGCATGTATCACATACCTTAATATGCCTATATGATTTAGCATGACTGAAATCAATCAAGTTCAAAGACCTACTCAAAACACACAAACTTCTTGTTGTAATCAATGTTGAGATGCCGAACAAATACAGACAAAAGGGTAGATTTGTGTTTTCGAATTCCGTACATGACTTGAATATGTAACTTGATTTATAAAAACTTATCGTGTTGCTTGGCAAATTAAGTGATCTCATGAAGTTAAGTAAGCTTTTGGTATATTAAAATAATATTTTATTATTATATACATCAATCTTGTGATATATATAATTGTATGGGTACGAAAACAAAATTATTGAGAGGTAAACTTCAGGTCACAGTTGTTTTTTTTTTTTTTTTTTTTTTTTTTTTTTTTCTAATTTTTTTTTAAAGACATTATAAAATTATTTAATAGCTTGCTAATTTAATGCTTCTTGCGTGCAATTGTTTATGTACAATTGTGTTTTACTATTGAAATTTATTATTTTATTATATTATTTTCAATTGTAAAATTCAAAAATTTTGATTAATTTTGAATTATATATACTTAGATATGCTGGTATGATGTATATATATCAAGGTTGCTTCTTTTGAAAGTAAAGTACACTGACATTGAGAATTTTCTTGTGATCAAATTATAATGAGATTGAGAATCTTAATTTGTCTGCACCATAATGGAATCGTTATGGAATGATTTGTTTGACTAACATGGATAAATTATTTCATGTAATATATACATGTAGAAGTGATTTAATGGTTTAATGTGAAACTGCGTGGCGGTTTAGTCACACATTATACCCAGTACTTTTATTAAGTAATTTATAATACTTGTTCAATTTTAAGTTGAAAACTTATGGAACTTGTGTGCCATAAGTATTTTTGATCTAATTGATTTAAAGATTTAAGTACTTCAAATTGTTCATCGGATATATAATATACATGCATCAAGTTTTTTTTTTTGTTTTTGTTTTTGTTTTTGTTTTTGTTATTTTATTTTAATTAAAGTATATAAAGAATTGAGTTTTTTAAATCTTAATTAATGTGCATGTTATTATTATATTGTTCACTGTAATTTCTTAAGATGTATGAGGGAGCTTTATTTTATTTGTGTTAAAGCCATTTATATTATGGTGAAATCAAATGTTCCATAATATTTGGGTTTAGTTTATGTACATTATAAAGAAATTGTTGAACAAATAAATGGAACTTTTGCAGTTTAGATTCTTCCTTGGGGTTTAGGAAAACCGGTAAAGTGATCGTTTCAAATGTGGTAGCCAAAGTGGGTGATATCTGCCAAAAGGTGACACGTTCACAGAGGTTATTATTTTTTGAAATTCTAAGACATTGATCTTATTGAGGTTTCACGGTGCACTTACTTACATGAGGGCATTAGTTCTGCTAAAAAGTGATTAATGTCTTAGTGTGGGATAAGTGAGTAGAATATTTGAGAGTATTTGAATTATAACTAAATAACCCTATTACCAAAAGATAGTGGAAGTGTTTAGCAATAATTCAAGTATAATCAAATAGATCCATGTGCGATTTTATCGTAAGTTTGGGGGGTAAAGTAAAATCTAAAATTCTGCCAAAAGGTGATTTTTAGATGGCATTTTATTTGTTCCCATAGGGTGAATGGTTTTACACATAGTAAAACACCCTAAGAAATTCGGCTTAAAATCCCAAGCACGAATTAAAGTAATAATTCCTAAAGTTATGACATAATATTTTATATGTTGTTTATGTGGTATTATTCAATATAACATTTATTCATATTACAGACGCTTCTTCAATTTAAAGATAGCTCATAGGAATTGAACCATTGAATGGTTAAAATTATATTGCCTAGAAGACACGTTTTGATATTACATTGGGTTTCTTGGACTACGAGTCCGTATTTTTTTTTTTTTTAGGAAGAAACCCGTATGCCCAGTGCAGAGTCTTCTTAGGTAGAAAAGTTATTGCATTTTTATGTGAACTAAAGGTACTACCATGCCATTAGGTTAATTTGTGCTTCTATTGGTGATACTATTCAGGGTGGTATTTTGGTTTTTGATACTGCCAATGAGCTTCTTGATTTTATCAAGAGAGAGTTAATGGGTATTAAGAAGCAACTACAATACTATTATCTGACATGGTTTATGTTAGTCAGATATGATGGCAATGGTTCAGTGAAGGAGTACATCTATATGATGTGCAAGTTGGTTAATGATCTGAAGTAGTAGAGAATCATATTTGATGATAAGTTATTAGTCCACATGGTGATATATTCTCTACTTAGGTTTTTTCAGTTTTTTAAGGTGAATTATAATTCACAAGAAGTTAAATGTGGCATTAACCAGCTGTTAACACTTTGTGTGGTTGAAGGGGAGCGACTTAAGGGTGTTAAAACTTAGTCAGCTCATTTTATCGTGACAGCAAGAATAGTTTCAAGAAAAAACTAGGCGGCAAGAAAGTGTATAAGGCTAAACAAAATAAAGAAAGGCAGAACAATACATGAAAAGACATTAATCATAGAATGATAAATGTTGGTTCTGTAGAAATAAAAGGACATAAAAGAAAAGGCTATTGTGGTGAAAAAGAAAAGGCTATTGTGGTGAAAAAGAAAAACAAAGCATGAAAGCAATTTGCCATGTTAATATTTGAGCCTAACTTGGTAAAAGTATAAGCATAGAAATAGTGGATGGATTCGGGTGTGATCCTACTTGTTTCTTGTTTTTCTAATAGACTCGATACCTTCCGAATAAAATCGTGCTTTGGTTAGAGAGGATTCATCTATGCTATGCATAGGATATTGGGAAATGTCTCTCAAAGAGACTTGAACGCT